TAGTTACGACTTCGTGGGACTGAGACCCCGCGCCTTTATAGTAAGCCAAGTGGCCTCTGTGTCGTCAGAAATCTTGTTGGTCCTCTCACACACTGTTCAGTTTCTCTTGACATACATTGCAACTCCTCAACCCCGGCGGCCTCTCCTGTCTCTAATAAACAATTGGTATCCTGTTAGTGTTACCTTGCAATCGCCTACGTTCTCAGGCAGCCACGTTTCTGTTATTGCTATAACATCCGGAGGCGTATCGGCTACCTGTATTCTCAGTTTGTCAAGCTAAGAAAACAAACTCTGAGCATTGGTGTAAGAGAATTTAAGTTTGCAAAATCCAGCAGTGCTTCGTTCGATTTGTCATGAGTTTGCCAATGTTATGTTGCTGCAGCAATCACGATGACTTGCTGTTTCCAAAGCAGCATCGCATTCCTCCGTATCACTCGTCCCCTGAAAATGGCCAAGTTTCTCTTTCCCGCCGCAAGTCTCCTCATCAGTTCTGTCACTAATTCGCGGTGTTTCAGACGTCCCGCTTGAGGACAGTCCTGCTTGAAAAACTTCCTTGTGAGAGTTTTTGAGGCTGCCCTTCCTAGACAGAAGTAAACTAGCCTCCACTTTACTGTCCAAAACAATATTCGGAGGTTGTGGCCGCACACTTTCCGATTTTTTGCTCAACTTCTTTCCGATCTTGAAGGCTGCGCAAATGGTTACCTTTACTTTTAAATTAAGCATTTTGTTCAGTAGGTGTTGAAGCATATCAAGGTCGGCGGAAATCCTCTCCTTCGGGGTACGAGCATTCGACTCCGATAGGCCCTGGACGACTACGCAATGCTGACGATCAAGGGGTTCATTTGTTCTATGTCCGGTGGCCCTGTCAGCAGAAGGTCTCGGTAGATCCACTGAAGTCGTCTTGGGTTTTATACGCCTGTTGTAGTGTTTGCCCATTCACCTTGCCACCAGATTGTTTCCTCACTCCAACCGAGGGTTCTACTGAACACGCGGTATGACTGAGAGAAGTTGATGGTTCGCGTCGGTTGTCTTCCATAGATACAAGAAACTCCGTTGCTTTTTTCTCATCGTCATGGGTATCGGCGTCCTTGCACTGAGGTTTCCCACAAAATCTGTTCTTTGGCTGCATTGGGGTTTTGTTCTTTCCCTTTGTCTTGCTAACTCTAGCTCTGTTTAAGTCAGTTTATTGAGGGAATGAGGCTTTCGCCCTTGAGCTCCCCATTCATATCGATAAACAGAAATAAAGTCATCAATTACATCAGCAAATGCGGAAAGTTAAAAAATTAGCGGTACGTGTGAGCCAGGAGCATACTGCCGCCGCTAAAACAATCGTTATTGCATGTACAATAGTTTCTCAAAAAATGAGTATCTAGTGTACATTTGAAGGAATCGATACTTTCGGAAAGAACCACTACATCAGGGAGTCCGTTCCATGCCCCAATGACCCTGTGAGGGAAGGCATTCCGTCGGACGTCCGAATGGGCCAGCTTCCTCTGCAGTTTGAAGGGATTACCACGCAGACGGTCAGTCCCGGCCAATTTGAAGAATTCATCAAAGTCTAGGGCACACTCACTACCTCTGACAATCCTGTAGGTTCGAATGAGATCGCCGCGCAGTTGCCTGTAATTTAGAGGAAAAAGATTTAGTTTGGTCAGCCTGGTTTCGTAAGGCAGATGATGAAGATTCTTGACCATCTTCGTAGCCATCGCCTGTACCCTTTCCAGTCGTTGATAATCTTTCTTCAACCACGGTCGCCAGGCCTGGACTGCGTACTCTAAGTGCCCCATAGGTTTTCCCGAATAGCTCTTTATTGATCTGCACAAATCCTCGCCTCAGCGCAAACAACATCCTTATCGCACTTTTGGCTGCCCTTTTTCACTGTGATGATAGTTTCAGCGAGGAGGTCATTATGACGCCGAGGTCTTTCTGTTCCACAACATTTGAAAGGGGCTGACCACCAAGGACGTATTGAAAGGAATTGTGCTCCTTATTGGTCTTTTTGGTGCGGAGTCTCAGGACTACACATTTGTCCACATTAAAATTAAGGAGCCAACGAGCTGACCAAGACTTCAGACGGTTGAGACTGTCAAAAGAAGAGGAGGC